GCGCCGTGTCGGACCACGCTCGTTAAGACGGGGGGGACGGTTCTCTCATTGCGTTTTGTCTCTTCCGCAGCTGGGTGGGCCCCCCGGGCTCGCGCCTCCGGCTGCACGTGTCGAAAGCCCTGGCGCAGCGGTCCGTCGTGGCCGCCGTGGTCGCCTTCAAGTCCCTCCACAAGCTGCTCCCCGAGCGCAGCGTGGCCATGATGTCGTAAGTATGCCCTACCCTGAGAGGACGAGCACTGCGACTCTTTATGGCGATCGTTTCGTAAAGGGGTTGTTGTATTACAGGGACAGCACCGAGCTGGAATACGAGCTGGCCTCCTCCCTCGTGTCCGTCTCGCTGGGCTCGGAGGCAGGCGACATCATCAACGACGTCGGCGACGCCAAAGACTTCTCCGCGGATGTCGTGTTTCTGGTGAGGGCGTCGCGAGTACTTTGGGTATTCCTTGGGTGCTCTACGCAAGTTAGTGACAATGTGGCTGTTACTCCTCGTGTCAGGTGACGGTGCCGGGGGATCCGGACGACTCCAGCTCCGCCTACCTGTGGCCGCGGTGGGCGGTAAACTGCGCCGTGGCGGACATCGCGCGCGGCGTGACCACGCCGGGGAAGCTGCCCTGGAACACGTCGGCCTGCTCCACCTTGGGCGAGGACTGGGACCCCCACGACCTGCGGCCGGGCAGCTTCAACCTGCGCTGCAACTGCACCCTGCCGGGCACCATGGCCGTGCTGCTGAGCTCCAACACGTCCGAGGTGAGGCTCCCGTCTGGAGTGCGGTTTATTGCAAAGGCAGCGTGCTCGGCCTCGGCGAGGACACGGAGGGTGCCCAGCAGTACATTGGGGAGTTGGAGCAGCCCGACCTCGCCGAGTCGCCGCCGGTCTCCGTCTTCCTGGCGCCGCCGCCAGAGGCCGCACCCTGGCCCTCGCGCAGGGTGCGCTCCAGGGCCGCGCCCGCCGCGCCCCCAACCGCGCCTCCTCCCCCCGCCCCCAGGGCGCCGCCCACACAGCCACCGATGAGTCCGCCCGCTGCCGCCCCAAGCACCTTGGCGACGAGGCCGCCCAGAGCGCCGCCCACCGCGCCTCCGAACGCCCCGCCGAGCGCACCCGCGATCGCTCCGCCCACCGCGACGCCTATGGTGCCCTCGAGGGCGATGCCCACCACGCCTCTCACGGCCAGGCCGATGGCGTCAGCCTCACTGTCGCCCGCACCCTCCACGGCGCCGCCCATCCCGGCTCCCAGACCGCCTCCTGCGGGGTCAAACACCGGGGAGTGACGGGGCTGAGCAGGACTCTGCTCTCGTAAACTGCGCCCGACTGCGCCACTTACCAATGGCGCCCCCTATGGTGGCCGCAGCAGTCCCGGCCGCTGACCGGTTGATGATGAGCCCCAGGGAGCCCCCCAGGACGCCGCCCAGCGCGCCGCCCACCATGCCGCCCAGCACGCCCCACAGCAGGCACGAGTACCACTGCACGGGGAGGGGCAGGGCCGTGCGGTGCACCCAGATGACGTGCAGCCTGCTGGGTCCCAGGCCCAGCGCCGTGCTCACGCTGGGCGGCGGGGACGTCATGGCCCAGTAGGGGGCCCACGGGCATGCTGGCGGCGCGGCGGGCGGCCCGAGGGGCTGTCCCACCGCGGGGCTCGGGCTGGGCGCGGGGCTGGTGGACGCGGAGGCGGCGGCCTCGCTGATGGTGTCGCTGCAGGCGTCCTGGTCCGGCCGGTGGTGGGGCCGCGCGTGCACGTCCTCCCGCGGCCCGCGCGTGCTGAGGGTGAAGGGCGTGCGGACCGCGCCCCGGGGCCCGCCGCCCACGGCCGGGGCAGCCGCTGTGCTGCCCTTGAACGGCACCAGCTCCCCGGCGCCCAGGACGAGGACGCCCGCGCCCTGTGCCTTGCCGCGCCCGCGCTCACCCTCCCAGTCACGCCGGTACGGCGGTCTCCAGCGGTGGAACGCCTGGGCGCATTCCAGCAGGCTAGCCCGAGCGTATCGTGTGGCACAGGCGCTCCAGAATGTCGCGGTGCTGTTACCTTTACTCTGTCGCCCTTCGACGGCCTGCCGGAGTTACGGTTCGCCGTGGTGCCCGCCGTGGTGCGGTGCAACCCGGGCGTGCCTGGCCGCTACCAACAGGTCACCGGGACCGCGAGACCAGTCTCCGTCCCCCCTTGGGACTGAGCCTTCAACTCGCCCCGGACAAACACGCACGCCAGGGGGCGCGCCATGCTTGGAAGGCTCGCAAGGCTTGGAATGTGTTGACAACAATATTCCCCAGCAGAGGGGAAGCGGCGCTGCCAACCTCATTCGCGGAACACTGAATTCCCCCATCCTTCCAGTGTTTGTTGTTTTGTCGTCGACTAATGCTGACCATGCTGACTCTGCTCTCTGCGCTGTGTATAAACCATCGTCATTCTTTTTTTGCAGAGCGCCGTGCCGCTGGGCCCGCGGCCGCCGGTGGCCCTCGTTTCCGGGCTGGCGCTGTGCGCGCTGCAGGCGGCGACCACCACGCTAGCGCTGCTGCCCCGCTGGCTGGGGCGGCCCTCCTGCATGGTGTTCCTCAAGCTGCAGAGCGCCGCGGCCACCTCGGCCTCGGCGGGCATCTTCCTCGCCGGTCTGAGCCACGCCGCGAGCAGCGTGAGTCCCAACCCCCCGTCCCCACACACACACAGGGTCCTCGGTGTAAGTCACCTTGCCGGCGCGAAGGCAAGCTCTGCCCCGCCCCGCGGTTTGTGCCGCCGCTCTCTTACAGGGGTGTTTGGCGCGGCTGCGGTGCCCCGCCACGCCCCGCCCCGCCCCGCCCCCGCCGCGGCCGTGCCTGGCGCAGCCTGGCGCCTGCAGATTAGCATGTACGCAGTCCACAATCACGCGCGCAGCGTACGTTGTTTACCGAGCGTGATGTGTAACAAGTAGGTGCGCCGTGCGCCTCCCCTCTCGCCTCGCTCGCGGCGGGGAGAGAGCAAGCAGCGTCTGCTTGTGTGTGTGTGTGTGTGTCCCGGATTTTTTCCATCCCTTAACAAAACACGTCAGCAGGGCGGAACAACATGCCACCGTGTTAAGAGATAACATCTGCGAGATTTTTCGAAGCTCGAATATTGTGGATTTTGCGAGGGTCTTTTTCCGGTTTTGCTTTTTCGGTGAAATTTTTTTTTATTCTAAACTTCTTCTCGTGTTTGTGATTCCGCAGGGCTCCGGCCCCTCTGGCCCCGGGCTGGTCGCCGCGCTGCACTGCTGCCTGCTGACGGCGCTGGCCGCGCACCTCGGCAAGCTGCTGCTGCTCTACACGGAGCTGGTGGGCGTGCGGCCGCTGCCCCACCTGCGCCAGAGCCTGCTGGCCATGGTGGCGGGCGCGCCGCTGGTGGGCGTGCTGTGCGGGCTGGTGGCCGCCCGCTCCACGCTGTCGCCCGCCCGCCTCCGGGCCACCCTGGGCGCCGGCTGGGCCTACTCGCCGTGGGGCTGGGCGCCCTGGGCGCCGTGGGGCAGCCGCCTGTGCTCCGTCCTGGTCGCCACCGCCGCCGTCATCCTGGTGGCGTTCGGCGCGCTCCTCTGCGCCGTGGTGGTCCGCCTCGCCACCGCCCGCCCACGTCGCAGCCCGACCAAGGCCGCCAAGGCTAAGGCTCACCAGGAGGACAAGATCGACGTGGCCGTGTTGCGGAGGTGTGTGATGGGGGTGGTTTCCTCCGGCATCGGAAGTGAAATAACTTTCAGCTTTTTCTCATTTTCTTGGCGTTTACTTTCACCAGGTGGGGGCTGGTGAAGCGGGCGTGCTGCATCGTGCTGTGTCAGGTGTGCGTGGTCGCACTCAGCATCGCCTACGTCAGCGTCAAGTCCTCTGTCGTCTGCTTTGCCTTCAGTGCGGCTGCCGCAACACTGGTAATGAAATCTTTATGTTATTGGTTCTAGGAAAGGAGGGGTGACGGGGTGTGATCCATAAATTGTGTTCGAAATAATTAACTTCGGTCGGGCCGCGCCGCTGACTTGCGTCCTTAACTTCACAGGCCCACGGGCTTACAGGAGGTAGAGTAAGGCGTGCCGCGGCGGTGGCATGCCGCGACTCGGATATGTTAATTTCATTTCCCTGCGGAGGGAGAGGGGAGAGGCCACGCCCGGCCACGGCACGACGAGACGGGGGCGCGGGAGTGGGGCTCGTGCCCGCCACAACCTTCCACTCACTCTCGTCTCGCTTCCACGACACAAATTGATTCAATCAACGACTCCGCAGCCCGCGTCCCCGCCGCGCCGCGCCACCGCGCGCGCGCCCCCTTTCCTTCCACCGACTTATTTTGACAAAGGGGCGTTTGAAATGGCGGGCCTTTGCGCGCTGGCTGCCCCTCGCGCCCCGCCCCTGCCGGCGAGTGGCTTCTCAATTTGTTCCTGGGTAATGACGCGGATGAGACGAAGCCTTGGAGTAAACGGGCGCCCGGCTCAGCGAGGTGCCGGGTTTGCGCGGCTGCAATTTAACCCGTCTTTGACGGGACTTGTTATAAAGGATCAGTTTTGGTCTCTGAGGCGTGGGTGCGGAGCGAAGCGAAGCGGGACCTACGTCGCCCAAATTAACGGCATTATTCCTTCCAGGGCGCTGTGACATTATTCTGCTACATCGTCAAGCCGGAGGACTCTGAGACGGGCTCGAAGAAGCTGTGCGGGGGAAGTGTCTCGTCTGCCAGGACGCCGACCGACGCTTCGACCGACCCCAGCCAGACGGAACCCTTAACATGTAAGTCCCCCTTAGCTGCCGATGACCGTGGTCGACTCTTGCCCATTCTTTCCGCTGGTACTAACCGCCATCAACTACCACCGCGAAGGGTTCGAGGGCAGACAATGACCGGTTGGAGCCATGGAGGTAGACTAATTCGGGTAGCGAGTGCCCAGTGGGTCATTTCGACATCGCTACGACGTCGATTCCGTCTTGCCGATGTCCTATTTCGCACTGGGTGACGATGCCTGCTGTCCGTGTTTCCTTCCAGCCTGCGCCGCCAGCCCGCACTCCTTGTGGCTCTGCTTGAGGCGCTCCCTGCGCGCGTCCGCCACGGCCCTCTACAACATGTGCTCGAACGCGCGGACTTACCAGCTGGTGCCCTCCCGGCCATCCGGCCCAGAGACCCCGACCCCCGCCAGGCTGGGCGTAGAGTCCCTCTGCCCCTTCATCGGTAAACCACTCGACTCACTTCCCCTTCTTTCAGTGTCTTGGACTGCTGCCGGGTGGTTGTGGTTGGCTGTGCAGGAAACGCACCGGGTTCTTACGTGCTTTACTTTCTCTTTCCTTTACAAAAGACGATTATGCATCGCTCGTGCTGTAATACAACCTGGTATGACCTACAATTGAACGACCTAATGCATGCATGAGCACTTGGCATTGGCCTGTACCAGATGGCTGGGGGTGAAAATCCTATTTGAAGTTTTACTGTACCGCATGCGCGCGTGTGGGCGGGCTGCTCACTCGGAGTGAACTCACTCGCAGCCATTTAGATTATCCGGGATTATCCGTCCATAAAGTACGTTCGTTATTTCCTGTGACGAACCTCTCAAGTTTAGCCCCTGCTGGGTCTCATAGCGCCTGGTAGATAGGCAATATCTTGCCTGCAGTGCATGCGTGTCGTGCGGGGTGGCCTACCCTGAGTCTCGCAGGCGCCCAGCTTGCGTAAACTTTCTTAATGTATCTGAGAAAAAGGATGTACTTTTTGGACGATCGCTGAGGTTCCCTGGTAAGAGTTGGTAGACAAACCCTCCTACACGCCGCACGCCTGCATTCCTTCCATACAGTATACGTACAAAACAACCAAATTTTATGCCCGGTGAATCCTTTTTCTCTTTTTTTATTTGACAAATCGATGGGTGGGGGATAATCTTTTACAAAACGGAAAGGTTGTCCATTTTTCTGGTTTCTTCGCTGCCCTAAATCTCTAAAAACACGTTCTGCTTGTGGTTAACTACTGGTAAGTACTATTGCCTGAAAACCACAAGCGTGGTCGCTAATTTGCCAAGTGATCGGTCTGTCTTTGGTGTTGGTTTTTGATCGGTCTGTCTTTGGTGTTGGTTTTGTGTTTTCCTTTTCCTTGACCTGTCCATGAAAAAAATGCATGGATCTATAACAATTTTCAATTTCTAACTAACGCAATGTTTACGAGTTTTTTTTACGTCTGCCGACCCTGATCCTAGACCTCAACTATTCTGTTTCAGTTTTCACGAAGCAGGACGCGGAGCTGGAAAGTGACGCGGCCGCAGTGGCGCCCGATGCGCCCGTCGTGGAAAAGGAGGGCGAGAAGTTGGCGACCTCCAACGGGAAGCACGTCAAGTCATCCACCAGTCCTAGCAAGACCCTCCCCGCGGGCTCGGGGAGCGACGCGTGCACGTGCCACGTGTACTGCACGTCCTGCTCGTGCACGTGCAAGGCCGGCTACCACGCGGCGGCGTGCGCGCCGCTCAGCCCGGCGCGCTACGTGCCGATGTGCCCCGTGGCCGTGCACGTTCCCGTGCACATCCCCGTCCCCGTGGTGGGAGCGCCGCCCGGATCAGTGCTGGGCGTGGGCAAGGAGGCCTCCCTGCTCGTGGCTCCGCCCCACGAAGCTGACGCCTTCCCCCTCCAGGACATGGCGCAGCGCTCGCCTAACAAGTACCTGTACATGCGGTGCCGGCCGTACCGCGCCGAGGACAGCGACGAGTACGTGCACCACGACGGCGAGGAGGCCCGGGGCCGGGAGGAGGTGGCCCCCAAGTACGCGAGGACTCTGTACCACAACGACTGGCCGGCGATGGCGCCCCGGCCCGGCTGCCCCGTGCTTCTCCCGGACCAGCCCCTCCGGCCGGAGCCTGTCCCGTGCTACATCCGGGGCGAGCCCGGCGTCCCCGTCGTCGCGTCGCCGACGAGGAGGGCGCCGCCGCCGCCGCCAACGGGACCCTGTCCCCGCGGCGCGGTGCTGACGTGCAAGGCGGACGTGGAGCCCGTGCCGCGGCCGTCCCCGCCGCCAGCGCCTCCGAGGGCGCCGACCACCGTCGTCACGCCGCCCGAGGACTCCCTCGACGAGGACGTTCTCAACAAAATCTCTCATGACCTTGACTACCTCTTGAGTGGCGACGCCACCCCCGCACCTCCTAGCGGGGACGCGCCCTCAGCCATTGCTAAGTCTGCGTTACCGCAACCCTAGGGGCTGCCTTGAAATGTTGTAATGTTACCGTGTATCATCCATATCATATATGGGTTCCACATCAGAGTTTGTTTTGTGCAGTGATGGTAGCCATACATCAACTCTGTGCCTCGTATTTAATTCTTAAATGTGTTTATAATACTTCATGTGATTGTACATATTTTGACTATAATATGGCTACAATGATAATAGGTTAATTGAAAAGACTTTCTAATAAAATAGATCTCTGTATAAGTACGTAAAGAGCTGTGCAACCTAGTACGTCCTCATACCCAAACAGTCTGAAGGAAAAATAGTACAGGTTTAGTCATTTCAATGGGAAATCAAAGTTTTATTCAACAAATAAAAAAAGGGATACACTTACTGACATTGAGCTCCTTAAAACTTTATCTCACCGACACTATGTGAACTTAGAATTTATTTTATTTTATTTCCAACAGTACACCAATGATTTTTAAAAATTTCATTCCGGTCTTAGTTAAACATTGTCAGTTTTTTGTGTTTTAAAAAATAAACCTACTGTATACTGAAACCAAAGCTCTTAATATGAAAAGACTGAAGTTAAAAAATTATAACTTTAACAGCTCTCTTCTCTTGGACGTGAACACATTCAGTCTATTAGACCAATCCTGTAAAAATAAAACTTGTGAGCGATGATAAAGAAAAGGCAGGTTGTCAAAATATACTTACAAAAAATAATCTTGGACAAAGACTAGGAATTTATATTTTGAAATATCAAGAGAATTCTTCAAAATAGTCATTGTATCAAATTCTGTGACTTCCTTAAATAAACAAGGCTGAAAAGTACTCCAACCGCTTGATATTACTTGACGCCCATATCACCGATTAGGAATACTTACTTCTCCCTCGAGATCCTTTGCCCCCGTCTTCACGCCACCTTGTTGACGCGCGCCCAGACCTCCATCTCTTGCTGGGCGGTCTTGATCGCGTCCACCATCCTCGCGCCCTCGTCGGCCGTCTCGAAGCGCAGCGCGTGCGTGGCGCGCTGCAGCAGGGCCCTCATGTCCTGCAGCGCGGCGCGGGTGTTCGCGGCGGTGCCGGTGCCGGCCTCGCCCTGGGCGCGCTTGAGGGCCTCCAGGTCGGCGCGCTGCAGCTCGAGCAGGCACACGGCGGCGTACAGCTGCAGGCGGGCGAGCGGCGGGTCCAGCTGCAGCAGCACGCCCAGCACCTCTCGGCTGAGTGCTGCACGATGACCAAAGAAATGACAGCATTAGAGAGAGGACATATCGCGTGTCCTTAATTCTACCGAGGGTAGCTCAAAGCCCGCCGCCGGTCTGTTTGTTACACTACTGTATCGCGTGTGGCCCGTAAAAGAGTTTGCCCGAGTGCCGCTTGTAACCGTATAGCGCCTTACAGACCCGGGGTAGGCAACCCACCGACAAGCGTGCTTGCGGTGTAGTCTAACTGCAAAGTCCGACGGACTTTTGAACTGCCATCCGGTATAGCGGTGCAGCTAGATTGTCCGGCCTACTTTTCTCCGACCTGGTAATTTTCCCAAAATCCCCAAAAGTGCTGTCCCACCTCGGTTTTGTCCTACTTATCTTTCTCC